CCGTTGTCTTCGATGTCGATTAGTTTTGAAACACGGCTTGTTCACGATTCATTTGTTATTACAGCATAGCCTGGCTAATTTTCTCCCCCGCATAACTTACGACCACGGTTTCACTGTCGAAACTATGCATCGCACGGTGTAAATCACGCCTTAACTCTTTAAACAAACAACAGGAGATTTGACGACACTGAACGCGAAAGAAGAAGATTGAGTTGGCACCATCGTGTTGGGATTGTTGAAGATTAGAGGAATTGTATCATGAATTATGTTACGATAATTCGCCCACACATATGATTGTCGTGTAAGAACCTGGAGAAAAAGACAAGAAAGTTTTAAGAAAGACAATGTGTCAGTGTATCCACAACTATTGAATGGCGAGACCCTATCAATTCTAGGTATGGCAACGATTATATCGAGTATATTTTTACATATATCGAGTATATTTTTATCGATATATTTGACTGTAAATACTTGAAATATATCGATATATTCGTTGAAATTTATCGATATATTCATTTTTTATTTACGAAAAAAATTAACTTACAAAAACTTGACTATACATTTTTCTGATTTATTATTGGATATATAATTAACAAAATAATCCCTGTCAGTGCGTCAAATTGGATTAGAGACTGCCGTCTGGTATGAGACATAAAATTGTATAATTTTAATTGTGCCTAAACCATGGTCCATGGGTAAACCTAACTCACCATTCTGCCTTCTGTGTCGGCATAGGCGTCTGTATCTACGTTTCTGCGCACAATTTTCAAATACGTTTATATGATGGTACCTTCCCCGGGAAAAAGGTCAAAAAAGTGTTGTTTGGAAATATTTTAATGCACCGGAAAAAGGAAAACAAGTGCCCACTTGTAAAACATGCTCGAAAGGCTTAAAAACCTTAACTTGTATAACCTAAATATATTTTATTTTGTATCTTTTTTATTACTACTTATAAGAATTATATAATTATTCATGACCATGAGTATATTTTTACCGTTACTAATAACGTTCTTTTCTTCCAGTTGGGCTAGCTCATATGGATATTATAAAATAGTCGAAATGTACCTAAAAGTAAATATATCGACATATGCCGATGTATAGTTTTCGATATATCGGAAAACCGATGTATCGTTTTATAGATTAAAAATTGTCATCCCCAATCAATTCTCTGACCTAAACCCCCGGTTTTCCTAGGAAATAGCAAATCCTCTCATAAACATTTACAAGAAAGAAAGTTAAAAAGGTACAATAAATATAATTAAAAAAACCTACTATAATATTTATTAAATCTTAGAAAAACTTAGGACGTATATTTACTAGGATATGACGAACGCCTTTTTTGTAGGGAGGTTAAATTATTATCTTAAATACTTCACATGAGTTTAAAGTAGTAAATCAATTTTCATTCTTTCAAACTTCTCGAAATAGATTTGCATCAGGCATGAGATGATTTGAGTCATGGCCCATCGGGATCATGCCAAATGTTCGTCACATGGTCGTCAGACCAAAACGATAAATTTCTAGTTTGTGTCCTTCGTGATTTCCTTACGATTCGCTTATTATTTAATTGATTTATTGATTATTCATGTTTGCAACTCTTTCAACCTGACGATGAGCATTTAATGCTTGACATCCGGAACGTTGTAAACAACAAATCTTGCGATTAGAAGCATCAATTACAAAAAGTGAAAATGGACGATACCTAATAATGGATTTTAGGCCAGTTTCGGTCTTAAGACTTTAAAAAATCCTTTCGATATTGGTAAATATAATAAAACGTAATATTATACATTGTTGTTCTCGCAAGAAGAGATCCAGGCGGATTTATAGGAAGTTCGAATTGGGCTAAATAACTCTCTTCGTTTCAACGTTCAACTCCATGAGTGAAAGGTGATTACTGATTACACTAGGAATGAACATTAAAATACGCTGTGTCTGCCCGGTTGCACAACGTTTTTCCCTTTCGGAGAATCTTCTCGGATAGCGTATTCTTCGCTGTCGACTTTTACCTGGCGGATGAAGAGAAATCTGAATGTAACGTTGAGGAGTGCTTCATTAATATTTCAACGTTTGCGTTTTACCAAATTTAAAACACAGTATACTCGACGATCCATTCTGTAATATTGTATAAAGATTTGTCAAATTTAATTCACTCTTTTGCAAAAAATTCACTCTTTCGCTAACCAAATTCACCCATTTGCAAACCAAATTCACCCTTTTTTAAATTAAAATAACTCTTGCAAATCAAATTCACCCATTATTAAGTTTACCCTGTTGCAAATCAAAATCATTCTTATGCATATTAAATTCAATCTTTTGTAAATCAAATCACTATTTCCCAAATTAATTCACTATTTTATAAATCAAATTCACTTTTTTTTTAATGTTTTTTTTTTATTTCTACGAATATAGCAGTATGATTATTTACAAAGCATAGTACAGGCATGGATCATAATCCATCTGCCGGAGGTTGTTGTTAAGAGAAAAAGAATAAAAGAAAAAAAAACAATGAAGAAACAATATAATTAATTTACCTTTTTGCAAATCAAATTCATTCTTATGAATATTAAATTCACCCTGTTGCAAATCAAAATCATTCTTACGCATATTATATTCAAACTTTTGCAAATCAAATCAATAATTCGCAAATTAATTAACTATTTAACAAATTAAATAAAGCCTTTTGAAAACTAAATTCCCATTTTTGCAAATAAAGTTCACTCTTATGTATAGTAAATTCAACCTTTTGCAAATCAAATTCACTCAAATTTATATAAATTCAACCTTTTACAAATCAAAACATTAATTATTAAATTAATTAACTATTTAACATATCAAATAAAGTCTTGAAAACTAAATTCATATTTTTGCAAATAAAATTTAAGCTTATGCATATTAATAAATTCAACCTTTTGCAAATCGAATCACTAATTCGCAAATTAATTCACTATTTTACAAATTAAATTCACCCTTTTGAAAACTAAATTCACCTTTTTGCAAATCAAATTCACTCTTATCCATACTAAATTCAACCTTTTGAAAATCAAATTCACTCTAATTTATATTAAATTCAACCTTTTGCAAATCAAAACATTAATTCGTAAATTAATTAACTATTTAACAAATTAAATAAAGTCTTTTGAAAACCTGTTGCCAATCGATTCACTAATTCGCAAATTAATTCACTATTTTATGAATCAAATTCAACCTTTTGAAAACTAAATTCACATTTTTGCAAATCAAATTCACTCTTATGTATATTAAATTCACCCTGTTGCAAATTAAAATCATTCTTGTGCATATTAAGTTCAACCTTTTGCAAATCAAATTACTAATTCCCAAATTAATTCACTATTTTATAAATTAAATGCACCCTTTTAAAATCTAAATTCATCGTTTTGCAAATCAAATTCACTCTTATCTATACTAAATTCAACCTGTTGCAAATCAAATTCACTCTAATTTATATTAAATTCAACCTTTTTGCAAATCAAATTCACTCTTATCCATATTAAACTCAACCTTTGCAAATCAAAACATTGATTTGTAAATTAATTAACTATATTTAACAAATTAAAAAAGTATGTTGAAAACTAAATTCACATTTTTGCAAATAAAATTCACTTTTATGCGTATTAAATTCAACCTTTTCCAAATCAAATTTACTCTTCTTATGCATATTAAATTCACCCTTTTGAAAATTAAATTCATCTTTTTGAAAATCAAATTCACTCTTGTCCATACTAAACTCAAACTTTTAAAAAATCAAATTTACTCTTATGCATATTAAATTCAACCTTTTGCAAATCGAATTACTAATTCGCAAATTAATTCACTATTTTTTAACCTTATTTTGCACGAATTCTGAAAGGAATTGCATTGTATTGCAAAAATCCCATCTAACAGGCGAAGCTAGGGTCGTGGATTGAATTCATTCTGTATCTATATTCAATACAGATAACATACCTATATCATCACATTACATTCCACACATCAAATATTTTTCACATAGTCTAATTTCTTTTTTCTTGTCTTTTCTATACCGACATCCTTCCCCACCCCTTCGAAATCCAACGTACATAAACACAAAATAGCAAAATCTCACTGGCACTCTCGACACGGCACGCAAGAATGACACAATTACACAGAAGACAAACACTTTGAGTGAGGAGAAATACTTTGATTGAATATATAAAATGTATTTTGCATTGTATAAATTCACTTTTCCACACCCAAAATGTAATTGTTATATGTAAACAATGTTTGTAAATCCCAGGCCCTGAAGATGATCTCAATAAAGATCGAAACATTGGCACGATAATGAAAATGTTTTTCTGAAACCTACATCACACCAGACCGCATCTCACGATTTCTACATAAATATCGATTAACGGTCACTAATCACCACACATTTCTTATGCATATTAAATTCAACCTTTTCCAAATCAAATTCACTCTTTTCACTTTCCGCCCGATTCCTGGCTATGGTCTGTCCTCTCGTAAAGGAAGTCCTCGCCGGGTCGCACCTGCCAAATTCCTCACATGTGAATGCCGAGCTGAAATGGAAATCCGTCCAGGGGGGTGCGTTACGATTATTATCCAGGTAAAGGAATGACAGATTGCCGGTGTATAGGGGAGCCGAGTTTAGGAACAGGTAGTCTCCTCAGTTTTGCCCCCTCCGCACTTACCTGGCTACCTGCCGACCGGCCGACTCACTCAACCTTGACTTCCCAAACACCGTTCGTTGTTGCCTTTCCTTACAAACTATACTACAACGAGACGAGGAAGAAATCTTCTCGCACGATAAACCATCGGCTGTAGTCCAGTTTTACAACTTACAAAAAATGGAACTTGGGAGTATTTCCAAAACGACTTTAAGCGATTTTTTTTTCAGAAAGAATGTTCATTGGCATTTTACCCCATGATATTTCCTCGGTTCCATTCCCTTTGTAAATTGTAGTATTGTCTGCTTTGAATAATAACTGTTCTTTTTGTTGCAGGTTGCGAAAGGTGTGTAACGAAATGGTGCGAAATCTTCAGAATTATATATTGTAAGTGTTAAAAAATAACACAAGAAAAATAAAATTGACTTGTGGAGTTCAAGTCAGCATAGGTGTAAAATTATTTCCCACGCTCATTTAAAACGGAAGCGTACCACGTCAAAAATTTAATGGCCCACAAATCCCATCAATGTAATACTGAAGTGTTATTAAGGAGATTCCTTTACTACTCCTACCAATTAATCTATATTAACAATCAATATTTCAATTTTTCCGATGTAGTTTTTCACATATTTTTTTAGACAAAATGTAAGATTTTCTGCACTTTTGGATGGAATATGTGACATATGACGCAAAAAAAGTCAAGGCGACGTTCTTTGTAATGGATTTTAGATTAGAGGACGTCGAACATGCGAAAACGGATCCTAATTTTATATTTATTGATATAATTAACGTGGATAAACAACTAAGACAACTAGAAACGGTATCTATTGTGTTCTTGCTTTGAAACCAGCAGGAACTAGTTTTAACATTGTCCTGGAGGGAAGAGAGGAATAAATTTGGAAATTAAATAAAAATGTATAGTATCATATTTGAACTTCTGTCAAAATTTATAGGACAAAGAAGCATTGGTCTATGTTGAACTGTACACACAAAACTAAACATTTTCCTTGGTGCTTCTTAGCACACTTCTCGTCATATGAGAATTGCTTCACATTCACAAAGGATACCAATGTCTTGAGTCGGCATGTTCTGCTTATTTAGATGGTAGTTAAAGAAGGCAGTGGTCGATGCAGAGGTCTATGTTTTTCCTCAAATATTGCCTGCGTAGAGAGAGAAGTTCCTTTTCCTTCCTTTTTGATAAATTTATGAATCGCTTAGCTTGCTTTATACCTGGTGCTTTTGTCCAGTTGAATTTTTTATTCTTAAACCAGTTTTCCAGCCCCAACTTTAACGCACTGTCCAGTACACCTAGATCTAAACTAGTCTCATGGTTGAGAAGAGTGCCTCTTCTTTTCCTAATTTGTCAGCCTGTTTGTTTTCTTCTTCTGAATGTTTAAATGTTAAAACTCTCTTCCACAGTATTCTAGATAGACAAAAAAATATAAATAAGATTTTTCCATGAAGTCTGCCAGGTAATGAAATGCATTTTTATCGTTTCTTGTCATTTTGGTCTGCTTATCCTCAACTGTTTTGGTTTATCAGACACATTATGGCTTTCTATTATTGTCTATAGTTTCACTAGAGTCAGCATGTTTTTTGTTCATCTTCTTTAGATGGTTATTAAAAAGGCAGTGGCCAATATAGAAGCCTGTTCCATGGGTGTCTGTTCTTTTGTTTGTTGGTCAGCCTGTTCGTTTCCTTCTATACCTTCATGTCCTGGAACAAGGTCACCTTGTTATGTTTTCTTAGAGTCATCAGACAATTTAGGCATTTCCAGACTTATTTGGAGCTAAAAGCTACATTCAGTGCCTTTATGACCTGACTGTCCGAAATTATGTTTGATCTGTGCACCTTTCATTTTCTTCTTTATCAATCCCTTTGAGATTCATGATTAATGACAGTAGATTAAAGTGGTTTCTTATCAATACAAGTCAACATCTATTGTAGGAAAAACAAGACAAATAAATTATATTTTATTCCCAACTCACAGAGCAAGGGCAAGGTGACGAACCTGTAGTTGGGTCATTTCCGATCATTTTGGCTTGCTTATCCTCAGCTGTTTTGGTCCATAAAATTATATTGAACCAGCACAGGGTTTCTTACTGGGTCTGCCTCCACACAAGTGTTTTTGTGAGTTAATCAAATGTGTTTTGGTATTGCACCATCTTCAGTGAGAAACTAGTTCAACTGAGTTCACCGATTCACAGACCAATACCCATCATCAGCTCTATCAGATGTGTTACCCCCTTTTTGTCCTATCTCTGACTTGATAAAATTGGCATATTTCTTTCCTTGCTTTGCCCATTTTCTTAGATGGTAGTTAAGAGATCAGTACCCAGTACAGAGGCGAGGCATATAATTTTCCTCAAATCTTGTCTACTGAGGAGGAGTTTCTTTGTCTTCATTTTTGTGAAATTTATCAATCTCTTAGTTTGTGTTTTTGTCCAGTGCAAATTTAATGCACGTTATAATTTAGTTGTAGTGCCCATGGGTGAGAGGGCTGCCCTTTGGCTAGTTGTTCAGCTTGTACATTTCCTTCATCTTCATATCTAGGAACCCACCTCACGGTATATGTTCTAAGGACCATTAAGCAGGCTATTTAGGTATTGGAAGACTAGTGGAGCTAAATGCTGCATTTAGTGCCTTTATATCTGTCTGATTGTTTGAAAATATTTATGTCCATGCATCTTTCATTTTCTTCTTCATCTACAACAGTGTACAGAGTTGGACAGGTTGAAAGTTTAAACCAGTCCAATGGGTTTTACTAGGGTGTAATTCAGCCCCTTTATGATCCTTCATATTAGAGCTCCTTCCTGAAACATTGCTTTTGCTTAGATCTGGTTTTGTTTCTTTGACTCTCAAGAGTTGTGGTTTCCTTGGGTGAGAGCCAAAGTAGCCATCTTTGTCTGCTCAGTCAGCCTGTTCATTTCCTTCTCCATGCCCTAGAACCTCAAGGTGACCTTGTTTAGTTTTCCTAAGGCTAATAGGAAATTTAGGCATTCCAAGATTAGTTTCAACCTAAAAACATAAGCATTTAGTGCCTTACGTATGACTGTCCAAAAGTATATAAATATCTTTCATTTTCTTCTTTATCACCTCCTGTGAAGAATTGGATTGCATGCACTCCAGCAGACTTCATTGAGGTTTCCATCACTGTTGTTGGACAATTATGCATTGACTTTTGTTAAGTTAACATTCTAGTCTTTTATAGACTTTGCATATTGTTTTGTGTCTTTTTATGCAGGGGTATTATCATTATGGTATAACCAATATGCTTGTTTTTTTGCATAATCTTTGGCCAATGCTTATTAGTGGTGGGGGTAATACCTTGGCTTAAGTAGTATGCTGACATGACTTCTCCACTTGAGTCTTTGGTCATGCTACATAGATACTTTCATTGGAAGAAGTTATGACTATCTTTTAGAGTGGGTTCTTTTAAGTTTAGCTTTCTCTTACTTTCTTCAATATTTAGAACGTTTTGCATTTGTTTCACACCCTTAAGTATTATTTGTACAGCCTGATGACCGAGTTCAGCGCTTATTATTATTTTGCTTTTAACACAATTTTAATTCTTAATATAATTTTAAATCCTTGATTCATAGTTAAAACGCAACTTAAACTTAGTTGAAAATCCTTTTGTTTTCATATACCTTGCACTCTTCAAGTCAATTTTTTTAACCTGTATCATTTATAATAATTTATTTTTCAGATTTGACTATAGTAATCAATGAATCCTCAGTCGCCGATGAAGATTGTTCTACTGGAAGTAATAGCATATTACACCTTTTAGAACATAATAATGAATAAATGAATATACAAAAAATATATTACACTTATATAATTACCAAAAAAAATTAGCAATTAGTCCAACCCCCTGAGGTGATATTGATGTGTTTTGAAATGTATAGTTATTATTTATTTAACTGTTAAATAATTATTAAGAAAAATATATTTTGGATTGCATACCATTTTTATATGTGCCTAATGACCATTTTTGACTGGCGTAACATATGGCGGTAAAAATTGTGTTGCCATATTATACGAACATGGTTAATAATCTTGTTTTATGTGGTAGTTATATTATATTTACATTTTATATAATCATATAAATGTGGATGACCATTTAATTACTAAGGCATTACTTTAATTTTATTTTTACTTGTAATATTACAATTTTAAGATCAGACATTTAAGTTTCCACAAAAAGAATATGTATTTTATACATATTTATGAAGATTTTTAAGCTGGTTTATTTTATGTCTTCCTAGTCCACAGTCCCTTTAATAAACAAATTTAAAAAATTAAAGAATTGATGTTAAAGATTTGTAAAAAAACCTACCAGCAGATAATGTTGATGATGTTTCTAAACATCTTGATCATTAGCATTAAAAAAAATTAATATTCAAATTTAAAACTAAATTTTAATCGTAATATAGTGTTGTACTTAGTGTTAATAGTATTGTATAGATAAATTTAATCGAATAATATAAAATAATTAAAGATAGAGATTACAGTTTTATCTGAAATTATCTAATTACCAAGAAATTTTTTTGCTTCATGGTTGTACAAAGCAAATAATCACAACCCACATAAATATGTACCAGTAGCAAACAATAAGTCTTCAGTATTTAGATGTAAACTCATACTAAATTGGTAGTTTCATTTTGTTTAATTATATTGTATATGTATGTATATCTTTTTTTTAGATGAGAATATGAAAATTTCATTTGTGTTAAAATATATTTTGTATATGAGAGTTAAATTTCTATGAATATTTGGAAAGATGTATACATATTTTTCTATCAGTTTTATCAATTTAGGGTGTGAGATGGTGCCATGAATATTTATATGAATTTATTTTTCTACTGTTACATTAGAATTTAAATTTAAAACTATATAAATTAATAATAAACCAATTTCCTGAATCTGAAATATTTTAATTATTATAATTAATCTATAAACTAGATCCCCATATTAATTGAAAAAAAGAAACTTTTAAAAGTTTTTTTTATGAATATATATTTTTCTTTCCATAGGAAGTTGCTTTTCAAGCAAATTTATCGAAATATGTAGATATATAAATAAATTTATTATATTTTAATAATAACGATTTTATTCTTATTAAGATTTGCTCAACGCACAATAAATTGTTGTTGAATAATATTAACATTTATGCCTTTTGTTATTTGACAAAATTATGTATATTAAAATGTATTATTGAAGTTACTGATCAGTGTCATTGATTATTGTATTCTAAGTATTTATTGTTTACATTTTACAGTTCAGTTTATGTGTTAAAATCTATTATGGCTGCATTTTTTCTGACTAGTTATTTAGTTATTGTTGTTTATTAATGATACATACATTAAAATAAAATTCAAAATATAATAAAAGCAATTGTGTTTTAATATTTTGACTACTTTCCTACAATTAATGATTCCACAGGTCAGACTGTTGATAAGTTAGCTATTTTGGCCCAGGTAAATCTCAGACAGTATTTTAACGTTCCTTCAGTTGGTAGAACCCCACAGTTCTACTTCAAATGACCAGAGTGATCATAGTAATGTCTTGTGTCGAGTTAGTTGTGTAATCGGCACCGAGGATGTCTTCAATATGAAGGAAGGAGCAAGGAGGTTTTGAAGCAATCAACATTTAAGGCAATATAGTGGGTTCTCAGGATGGTCAAGAGGGTAAAGAGAAAGTAAAGTTTGGAATGCAGTGTAAGAATGGAGCTTCGAGAGAGAAGAACTTTTAGACATGAGGTCGAATCATCTCAGACAAAAGGAATGTTGAGGTCATTATGAATAGTGATATTGGTTGTAAATTAACTGAAAACTTTTCACTGGATATGCTGGATATTGCATGGTGCACCTAACCTCACAGTTCCATTCTGAATGTCCAGAATGGAAGCAGTAGTGTATTGTGTAGAGTTAGTTTAGCAACCAGCACCTGGAAGACACAGGTTAAGAGAAGCCAGTGCTGGCACTTAATACAATGGAAGGGATGAGGATGTCACAAGATCATCATCATTCAAGACAAGGTGGCAGGTTCTCAAGAACCTCCTCAACCTTTGGACGCAAGATTGGATCACTTCAGGCAAAAGGAATGTTGAGGTCATTTTGGATAGTGAGGTTAGGGACATAATTTGTCTGAGAATCTTTTATCGGAAGTATTTGATGCGCTGGATATTGGATGGCTTGGCATAATGGAAAGGATATAGAATATCCAGCACATGCAATCCTTCTAATCAAAAGTTCTCAGATAAATACGTCACTAACTTCACCATCTACAATGATCTCAATATTCCTTTTGTGAACAAACTGAGTTCCACACCAAACTCTATTTCCACTAAAATTTTCCATCCTGAGAATACGGCATGTCATTTTAAACAACAATGGTCTCGAGGCCACCTTGCCCCATCTCATATTTAGTGCCACCATTGGCTTCTCTTAACCATTGTCCCTGGGGTGACATGCTGATTACAAAACTAACTACACAAGACATTACTGCAACCAATCTGGACATTTAGAATAGAACTGGCATTCCACCAAGCCATCCAATATCTATCACAATACAATCCTCAGACAAATAATTGGCAAAGTTTCATACCACAACAATAACCTTGCTATCCACAATATAACCTCAACATTTGTTTTGTCTGAGGTGATCCAATCCCGTTTCCAAAACTTCCACACCGATCTTTCGATCCAACATAACCCTACTGCTCAAGACTTATGAACACTTTTCAATCCTGAGAACCAACCATATTTCCTTAAAAGACGATGGCCAATAATCCTTGCCCATTTTCTCATATTGAGTGCGAACATTGGTTTCTCTTAGACCAGTGGTGGTTGCTCAACTACACAAGGCATTACTGCAACCACTCTGCACATAATGAGTAGAACTATCGTGTTCCAATAAGCTAGCCAATATCCAGCACATCCAATACTTCCAATCAAAGGTTCTCGAACAAATTACATCATTAGCCTCGCTATCTACAAGTACTTCAACATTTCTTTTGGCTGAGGTGATCCAATCTCACATCCAAAATTTTCACTTGAAGCTTTTGGTCATTCTTATACTACAGCCCGAGTCTTTACCATCCTGAGAACCTGCCATATTGCCTTAAACGATAATAGATTTGAAACCTACTCGTCCCTTAATCCCTCAAATATATTGATATTTTCTTTGTAATTCCTGCTTAGCGTACAAAGACAAAATTCACCACTTAAAGTTAAAGTATGTACTTCAATTTATTAGGAAGAAGGATAATTAATAGAAAAATGGTTTCATACAATAAATCAGAGTTAAATGCTTGCAAATATATTACTAAAATATTTATTGAAATTGCAATTGAATTTATTTAAAAATAAATAAACATGTTGAATTTTTAAACAAGACTTCAAATATTAAAATTTAGAAGTAATATTTTTTAAAATACTCAACACAATGGTAAGATTAATGTTCACATCGATATTATAACATAATCCAGGTAAGGTAATAAAGCTAATAAAATAAGTACAAAAAATTTACAACATTCATTAAGTCTGTAAAACATTTAATACTCCACAGTCATTATTGTCACCCTATAGAAAGATAATTTAATAATTGATTTAATCTTTACTAATTTGTCGCATAAGTTATCTGATTCTAAAGGTAAGTTGTGTACAAAAATTACAAAAATATTTCAGTTTAAAATTGAATGGCAATGAACAACGTTTGTAACAAACAATATTAGTATATAAAACTGCTTTCCTCTGAGCAAATTTTGCTTGCATTCTTATTAAGCTAAATTATTAATTAAAAATAATATAACCATGTTAATTTATGTATAGATTGATTATATTTGCACAAGGTCGATGAAAAATGACTAATGTCTCCCTTGCTTATATTGACTAGACCGTACACCCTATCCATCATTAGACTATTTTACATTTGTGCATTTGAGCAGCAGTAACTAAAAATTAATTTATAGCAGTATCCCTGTACACCAAGCGAAGGATTACCCTTAATAGGGTTAAGCATAATTTATGGGAAGCAGATATTTCAGCAATTATTAACCTAACTCTGATAAAACGGCATTCAAATCTTCTTGAAGACCTAAAGACATTTCCTTTTGTCTATTCAAATCGTCTTGTCTTCGATCGATATTCGCTTTTAACAGATAATTTCCTTTTTTGGCTCTTTGTAGTAACATTTCATGGTTCTTTATCCTTCTGTTTAAGTTAGCGACTTTATCCTCCATTGCAGCATCTTCTGGCAAATCACCCTCACTTTCTGTTCTATCGTCTTCGTCTGACTCACTTTCAGTTTCCGTCTCCTGAAAATTATTACATTATAATTTTACATTCCTGAATTACACCTGCCATAAAATAGAAAGTCTTTATTGCTTGACTTGAAGTATAGTTGAATTATTCAAATTCTTAGTGTTAAACATTTGAAGTTTTATTTATTTATTTATTTTTCTATATTTCCAACTATTTCTTTCCAAGAGATAAAGCCTTGACAGTGACAATTATCGGTTTATGTTTTTTGAAGATGTTTATAAACATAATACCTCATCTTCATCGTCGTCATCGTCATCTTCCTCCTCTTCTTCTTTGTCTTCGTCGTCCTCCACATCTTTCATTAGAGAAGCCATTTTATCTACTTCTTTCTGCAGTAGTCTGTATTTTTTCCTTTCTTCTTTTAAAATAGACTGCAATTTGGACAAATTATTTTTCAAATTCTTTTTCTCCTTGATTGCTGCTATTCGTTTCTCCTTGAAAGTTTTCAGTTTGTTAACTAGGAGTTTAAGTTCACGCTGTTCTCGTAGAGCAGATTTTTCTGCTGCATTAGTGGTGTCGATTACTTCCTCGTCTTCGTATTCACCTAGATAAGATATAAATTTACTGTCTTCTATTTGAAAATAACATCGTGAAAAAGTGTTTTGCGCGGTAGGTGTTTTTACTTGATAAATTCTTAGAATTGCTTAAAAATTGTAATCAGTATATTTGAATAGTAAAATTGGTCTGCAGGTCGGTGAACATGTTGAACTGGCACTGGGTGTGTTTACACTATTTGACTATCCCATTGACTATCAACAGGTTTTGATGTTACTCGAGCAAAACCGAAACACAAGTATAGATGGACTCAGTGCCGGTTCAAGATATGATGCTTGGTAAGAAAAAAATTGTTTAAATTACTTTTTTGGTAAAAAGATGATTTTGCAAGACATGACAAGAGTTGAAATTGCTTTGGTATGATCAAAATTGCTTAAAATAATTATGTATATACACTTAAATTAATTTTAATAGTAGATTGTAAATTTAAAAAAAAAATACAAGAACATATTGAACATGTCATTGTTAGGACAAACAAATTTTTAAATAGGATTAAATTAAAGATCAATTTATAAATTTGTGAATGAAAAATTGTATTTATTTACCATCGGTTTCTGTTTCCGAGCCTTCAGATTCACTTTCATCGTTCGGTTGCGGAAACTTGTCTTGCTTGACAGTCGAAGCTGAATGTGCGAGCTTTTTCGACGATGGCTGTTTAACAAGAGGAGGTTTGTTATATGAACCCTTTGACTTAAGTTCCATTTCAAGTTGAGTATTCCTAAGCCAAGCGCTCTCCAATTTTGCGCGTGTGTAATCCAATTCTTCCGCTGTCTTATGGTACTTTTCTTCCATTTCTTTTGTAATCTTGGCCGATTCTGCTGCTTCTTGTTTTAATTGTGCGATGAGCTAAAATTAAGATAGTCAAGTATTTGTGATGAGTAAGCAAAAACAGAAATGTTTACAGTTTCATCGTCACTAGTTCGGACTGGTACGGTGGATTCCCCTTCGGCCTGGATTTTCCTGGCTAATTTTTCTTTCTCAAGTTCGACCTCAAGGTTCAACAGTCTTGCCATGAGCCTTTTATTTTCCCTTTCCAAAGCTTCTTTGTTCCTCAGTTCAAGAGCTAACATTTGTTTTGTCGACTGTAGATCATCTCGGACTTTATCAATATCATCCAATTCATCAGGTTCGGAAGCAACTGCAATTACATCAGCGACAGATGCTGACTTTTGAATTTGCTCTTCAATAGTCATTTGCCTTCTAAATTTTCTTAAGCCTGTCAATAGAAATAAAATATTTAGTCTTATTTTATTTTTAAATAAGACATATTCAGCACTAACCTTGTAATATCGGTTTACTTCTGTCATTTGTTTTGACTTTTTTCAAATGAACTCCGTGCTGAATTTCTTTGAGAAGTTGATTGTGTGCATTTTGTTTTTCTGAGTCATACACAAACTGGAAAAAAATTAAACCAACCATATTAAGAAAGTTTAAATATTTATGCTTGTAATGTTGTAATCTAAATTTTTAAAAAATTTAGCGATTTGCAAAAAAAAACAGGAAACTTGCTACATGAATTATAACGTCAAATAAATTTTCACACTGCAAAATAAGTTATATATTGAATATACATTTTTTAAAATAGTTAATAAAAACTTTTGGTGTTGAAAATTTCAGATTTAATGTACAGAATAAAAATTTAAAGTAAAATCAAAATTATGTTAATGTCTACTGTTATTGAAAGCTGGCAATACACTTTCTAGTACTAAGTACAAAATTATATATTGAATTTCTAAATAATTTAAAAATTAATTTACCTGTCCCTTAGCTTTTGCTTTTGGTAATACTGGTGCACTCCTGTCATTGCACTTCACTTTTTTCAGCTTAATTCCTGCTTCTACTTCCTTCATCATATCAGTCCAGTCAGGACGCCTTCTCGGTCTACTTTTGAGTGCTTCTATTTTTGCTGCTTTCTCAACCGTCATAGGCTTTTTTGTAAATTCTGATGAAATTTATAATATTTTAATTTGTTAAATTATTAACAATTGGTACTGTACTAACCTGGAGGTGCAGTTGGTGGTGGTGGTGGGGGAGCTGGCGGTAAGCACGGTGGTGGAGGAGGTGGTGGCATCATAGCTGTGGATGGTGGTGTAGCCATGACTGGTGGAGGTTTCGGCTCTTCTTTTCTAGGCTCTTCAATCCTTTTCTTCAATTTAACTTCACCGAATGGTTCCTTCTTTTGGGTTTCTTCTCTGTTTCGGGCCTGTTCCTGGTTTTTGTCTTGTTTTGGGGCAATGTCTTGAGATGGTTGTTTGCTCATCAATTCTGTACTAATCCTGACTTCTTTGGATGGTCCTTTGGGTGGTACAGTTGAAATTTGAGGTTTAATTTCCTTGTTAGGGCTTTTCCCCGTTTCTCCTCTCAACGTTTCAGGCCCTGGCTTAAAATTGTTGGGCATGGATTTGTTCGGTGGTGGACCCTGAGCTTCCTTTGATTCACCATCAAAACTGACTTTTATATTCCTGACGTCAGGTAATTTTGGCCGATTAGGTATGATCACAGACTTCACTGGTTCCTAACAGAAAAAATTATTGTACAACTGGTGTGAAAACCAAAAAAAACCGATGATGGTTGGGGAATGGTGCAGGATGACACTGATGTGAAAACCAAAAAAACCAATGATGGTTGGGGATTTTGGTGCAGGATGACACTGGTGTGAAAACAGAAAAAAACCAATGATGGTTGGGGAAATGGTGCAGGATGACACTGCTGTGAAAACAGAAAAAACGAATGATGATTGGGGAATTGGTGCAGGATGACACTCGTGTGAAAACCGAATAAACGAATGATGGTTGGGGAATTGGTGCAGGATGACACTGGCGTGAAAACCGAAAAAACCAATTATGGTCGGGGATTTTGGTGCAGGATGGCACTGCTGTGAAAACCGAAAAAACCAATGATGGTTGAGGATTTTGGTGCAGGATGAAGGCATTTAAGGAGGAGTTTCTCAAGGATTTTACCTAGGAACATTGATTTCTTCGTTTTCTCCAAACTTGAGAAGTACATTAAGGTCAATTTATAAACGCAAGTATGCTCCTTTTAAACGATTAAGTTCTTAAAATATAACAAGGAAATGCACAACTTCTTATACCGTTGAAAATAATCCTTTCATAAATTGGATATGTGCCTTTATTAAAAATAAATCGAAATATCCTTTGAAATACACCGTTCACCATGGATGTAGAATATTTTCTTGTGCCAAATATTAGTTTGCCAAGATTTCAAAAGGATTACGTGCTCGTTTATCACCAAATTTTGCATGCGAGCCGACAGAAATCACTTAAATTACTTAATTAAAAAAAGAACTGTGCGCACGGGAAGTTCGAAGATCTTTTTAGAAAATGAAGTGATAATAGAATCATATTTTTTAAAAGTAGAATCTACGTTCAATTTATAAATGAGGAAATTCCTAACTTCCTGGTAGTATGTGACAAAGTGTAGCGAAGTTAGGAAGTTCCTTTCGGTCGACCCAACTTGAATTCAATGCGACTGCAATGCAAACTCGGCTCGACCTAAACGTGAGGTCGATTTTTGTTCAGCCTTCTCATATCTTACCAGGAGGGTTCTCACCACATAAACGGCTTTTTAAAGGTGGTATAATGAGTAGTTCAAGTGATGAGGAGGACATCCTACTAATGAATTACAGATTATGCTGCGGAAAAAAAATTAAATGCACTTTTGTTATGTTAGCAGAAAAATCCAAATACTCAATAATCCGATACGATGCCGAGACCTGAATAAGATCAATGATAAAATTTGAGCAGTTTATGTACTTCACGACTACGTTATTAAAAAACAGACTCCATAAATGTGGGACCATATCACTGGTACTGCTTACGCTTATCCGAGTGATTTCACGCCACCACCCCGAGCAAAAATATGTGCTTAAACAACCGCAAATGCTTACAGAGAATATTTATAGCATTATTTTATGATTCCAATGGCATCAGGTGCCTTGGCTATGGAATTGCTGTTTTTAAACGGCTCAATTTTAAATTAAATTAAAATTTTTGTTGTTTGTCTGTTTTAAATTAAATTTAACTACTGTTTTTATTTTTTATTTTTATTTTTTTTAAGTGGCTACAACGTAATGTACCTAGCTAGTAAAGGCTTTATTATCTGAGTATATTATGTATACAGGGTGTATCAACTTCTCTAGTCCACCCATTTAATTCGGGAACGATTAACATTAGCAAGAAATAGTCTCATACAAACCCCAAGTTAATTTTGGATAGGAATTGCCTGGCGGTAACAGATTTAACATAACTTTCTCATCTAGCTTAATCTAGCATCTAGCTTAACTAGGAAATGACACTAACTTAGTTATTTTAAATGAGAAGCTCATGTTTTTATTGTACAATTCAATTCTAGAGCTTATTTTATGCCATTTTTACTAAACCCGCCGGAATACGCTTTAGAAGCATTCTTTTTATAAAGCCCCTCATATACAACTGAAATTAATTAATTGCACGACGAGAGGCGTTGCGCAGCTGTCACAGAAATTCAGTTTGTTATAAAATAACATAAAAATAATAAAATACTATAAATTAATTATCTTCACGTCCGTCCTCTACAACTTCTTCCTACTATGCATCATCACATTCAAATAATAGCCAATCATTCTCATATCCCCCAACCCCAGGACAGGTAACTACAATAAAGAACACCAGTACAATATTCTGTAGTATCTGACCTATTCTCTGACCCACAATTTTAATAAATATATAATATGGTATTACTTTATTAAAACGTTTCATTAGTGTTAATTTTTAGTTCAGTTGTGTTCTCTCCATGACAATCTTTCCAAGTGTTTGAGCAGCAATCGCTGTTTCAAACTTTAAACCCTCAAAAACAGATCTTTTCTTCAACCACTCTTTCATCCAGACTCTTTGCTTCCTTTTTCTTTTCTTAACACCAACGTCCGACGCAGTAGAAATTATTATAGCTAAACAGGCTGCGTTGCGTGACGCCATTACCATTAAAACAAGACAAAAGCAACTGGAATTTGCAAATAAAATGCGTATAGTGTATGGGACCTTGTTTGCACAACAGCCTGTTGTACAACGTACGTTTGCAATTTGATCGTAGGTGTAAGGGGGCTTAACAACAAGATGACCTTCCCCGTTTATTTCGAAAACGATCAGCTTTAGTAAAAAAATATACTACCCCAAGTTAATTTTGGCTAGGAATCGCGTGGTGGTAACAGATTTAACATAACATTCTCACCTAGCTGGGAAATGACACTAACTTTGTTATTTTAAATGAGACCCCATACTTTTATTATTATATTATTGTATAATTCAATTCTAGAGCTTATTTTATGCCATTTTTACCGAAAGGAAAATTTTGATAGGATCGACCATTTCTGAGTTTGTTCGTTTCAGGAATTCTTCGTTTGTGGTCTTTTCTATTATTTCTGGGTGGGTTTCTCTGCAAGCCGCAAGAATCCGTGGTTCCAATTCTTGGACAGTGAATACTGGAGATGGACTGTCGTATATTCGATTCTTCAATGCCCCCAAAAGAAAATAATCCAAGGGCGTCAAATCTGGCGACCTTGGAGGCCACGAAGTAGGACCTTGTGTGCCAATCCATCTCCCTGTATGGTTCATGTTCCGGTAAATTGGTAACGACGCGACTGTTATGAGCGGGGCAACCGACTTGCTGGAACTACATCCTTTGCCTGGTGTATAACGGAATTCTCTCCACGAGAACAGGGAGGGTATTTTTAGCATCAACAAAAGCAACAAGCATATCTCTCTTCTCGGCGCTTGTATCCATTTTTGTTGGAAAGGACACATGAAATGAATACTCAGGTATACATTATTGTGCGATAGAATCCAAAATATAATTTCTAGTGGATTAACTTTAAGAAAATAAAAACAAAAATTACAATAAGAGAGGTATTGATATTCGAAATTTAACAGACGTAACAGAACATCGAAATATTGATATTTTTAAATCAATATTTACAATTAGATAAGAATGCTAAAACAAAACGAAAGATAATACCATAACTAGGTCAAAACAAGTAAGAATATATTTTTTGGTTGCAAAAGAAAAAAACTCGGGCGTACCTCAGAAATGGTCAAAATTTTCATTTCAGTAAAAGTGGCATAAAATAGGCTCTAGAATCGAATTGTACAATAAAAATATGGGATTCTCATTTAAAATAACAAATCTATTATATTTCGTGGTCCGATTGACCAAATAACTTCTTTCAATTAATTAATCTTTTTATGTAAGGTTTTGGTTGAAATAAAAAAGCCAGTCACAAGCAGGATTCGAACCCACGGCCTTCGGCTAAATACGCCGCTGCTCTAACCACTTGAGCTAGCGTGACTTCGATTCACTCGGACACCAACTTCCCACCTCAAGTGGTAGAGCAGCGGCGTATTTAGCCGAAGGTCATGGGTTCGAATCCCGTTCGTGACACTGGCTTTTTGATTTCAACCAAAACCTTACATAAAAAGATTAATTAATTGAAAGAAGTTATTTGGTCAATCGGACCACGAAATATAATGGTTTTAATAAGTAAAACGAATTATATCTTCACTAAAGCTCTCCGTGGCCATTTCATTTGTCGCCGAGAATCGAATCCTGATTACACGACATTTGAAAAATGGAAAAAAGGAGGGAAAATTCGAAAGAGGTTGAGGTGGGAAGTTGGTGTCCGAGTGGATCGAAGTCACGATAGTTCAAGTGGTGGAAGAGCAGCGGCGTATTTAGCCGAAGGTCATGGGTTCGAATCCTGCTCGTGATACTGGCTTTTTTATTTCAACCAATACCTTACATAAAGATTAAAATAAGAAAGTTAGTGTCATTTCCTAGCTAGATGAGAAAGTTATGTTAAATTGTTACCACAACATGATTCCTAGCCAAAAATTAACTTGGGGTTAGTATAAGATTATTTTTTACTAAAGTTAATCGTTTAGTGGGTAGACTGTAAAAGTTGATACACCCTGTATATGTATGTAAATGTACGTATATTAAGTGTTATCTTTATTTCCTTTTTTGTTTTTTTGTACATTCAGAAGGTTCTAATATCATCATTAAACATACAGAAGGCTTAATAATTCGTACAACTCATAAAATCCTCATTCCACACCTTCGCAGATGTGTCCTTTCTGACGTCAGTAGGAGGGTGTAACTATACAATTCAGGATGCTTTTCTATCTCCTGTACAAATGTTATGTTCGACGGCTCCATGGGATACCAACCAGAAACCCGCAAGTCGTTCGAGTTTTGCAGTACACTGCAGGTGCACGAGTCGAATCCAAATTGCATAGCAAGCAAGTCTCCACTTAACTTCCATCGCCCTTAAATCCTTTTCAACAGCACTCTTCTGATTCTCGGCCTTCTCTTTCTTCTGGCTCTCCTCGTTTTAGGAGGTAATCCAGTACTTCTAAGCCAAAATGATGAAGCATGAACCCGTATTTTGCCTCAACATACACAGCTGTTCATAGATGTACTGATTTATATAAACTCAAATCGAAAATTAAATCGGATGAAAAAAGC